AATTCAAGTATATTGTTTTTTTTTTTTTTTTTTTTTTTTTTAAGAAAACTAATGAAAAGGGCTTGAAAACTTTGAGTTTTAATGATAAAGAAAAAATAAAGGGTAAAGTGAATAGTACCAGGATCGACTTTTTAGTGTAAAAATGTGAGTTTTCGTTAAAGTGAACAGTACCGAAAGCTTTTCGTTAAAGCTTTTTTTTTTTTTTTTTTTCCTGAGTACATCTATATTTTTACACTAAGGGGAGGGGAAGTTCGGATAAGCCACATAGCGGCCAACCTAATTTGGTATTGAATTCACCATCTAAGAGATTTGAACCTCAGATAAGCCACATAGCGGGCAACCTAATTTGGTATTGAATTCACCATCTAAGAGATTCGAACCTTTTTTTTAAGAAAACTAATGAAAAGGGCTTGAAACCTTTGAGTTTTAACGATAAAGACAAAATAAAGGGTAAAGTGAATAGTACCAAGATCGATTTTTTAGTGTAAAAATGTGGTTTTTCCTGAGTACATCTATATTTTTACACTAAGGGGAGGGGGAGTTCGGATAAGCCACATAGCGGGCAACCTAATTTGGTATTGAATTCACCATCTACGAGATTTGAACCTAAAACCTTTCAATTCCGAGTGAAAAAGAATACACCAGACCATAATACTGAGAGGCATATTGTTAGCTATTCCACGTTGTTGTTATCTATTAGTTTTACCACTTCCTCCTTTGACGATTTAAGATTTAAAATTCTTTCAAAGCTTCAACGGTCAACATTCAAATCCTACCCCCACATCTGGAATTTCCTTTCTTTGTTGTTATTTAATACTATTACTAAAAAGAGAGAAAAAGAAAACCTATTCCTCCCCCCCCCACATCTGGAATTTCCTTTCTTTGATTCCCACTTCTCATACTTTGAACGCCGCGTGTTAAAGCCTCAAACTTGTAGTTTGGACAACAAATTTTTAGTATATAAACTACATCATCTCCCTCCTAATTTTTCCACAACCAAAAAATCAAACACCAACAAAAACAAAAGAAACAAATTCTCTAGTTCTCTTCTGCTTTTTCGTTCGTGATCTCTTTAACCTATAACTTCTGTTGTGTCAGTGTACGAGCTTGTACCAATGGGTTTAGGCTGGAGAAGGAGGAGAACCGGCCACCGCGCCGCGAAAAACCAGCCAGGGGACCTCGACATGGAAGTCCTGATCCCGGACCAGTTTCTCTGCCCTATATCGCTTGATTTGATGAAGGATCCGGTCACATTGTCATCCGGAATAACCTACGATAGACAGAGCATCGACACTTGGCTCGAAGGTGGGAACTTTACTTGCCCTGTGACAAATCAGGTGTTGAGAAGCTTTGATCAGATTCCCAACCATAGTCTCAGAAAAATGATTCAAGAATGGTGCACCGAAAACAAGCGCTACGGAATTGAACGTGTTCCAACGCCGCGAGTTCCTGTTATGCCAATCGAGGTCTCCGAGAATCTTTTCAGTTTAGCGGGCTCAGCTCGAAGTTTGGATCACCAAGGGTGCTTCGAATGTGTGCGCAGAATCAAGAATTGGGCCGCTGAGAGTGAGCGAAACAAGCGGTGCATATTGGAGAACGGGGCTGCATCTGTACTCTCTGCCGCCTTTGATTCTTTTGCAGGCGATTGCGAAAAGAAAAATGCAGTTGTGTGCGAAGAATTACTCTCTGCGTTGAGTTGGATGCTTCCAGCTTTCGATGAAGAATCACACAAATACTTGGGATCGAAGGCATCGTTGCGTTGCATGGTTTGGTTTCTCAAGGAAACCGATGATCTTTCCGTCAAGCAAAACTCCCTTCTAGCATTGAAACAGCTTCTTTCTTGCGATGATCACACTAAACATGCTGAAGCGTTGGCGGAAATTGGTGGGGTGAATGACATTCTGTTCAAGCTCATCAGAGACAAAATTTCGCCGGCGATTACCAAGGCATCTCTGATGGTAGTTTTCTACTTGATTTCATCATCTTCTTCCGCCGGTGAGCAGATCAAGTTATCATATTTGGAGATGGGATTGGTTTCTGTGTTGCTGGAAATGCTTGTGGACTCGGAAAGGGGCGTAAGCGAGGGGGCATTGGCGGTTATCGACAGTCTTTGTGATTGCGAAGAAGGGAGGGAAAAGGCGTACGCTGATGCGCTAACCATACCGGTTTTAGTGAAGAAAATTTTGAGGATATCGGAAATGGCGACTGAGTATTCGATTTCAGCGATTTGGAAGCTGTGTAAATGTGCAAGCAGGCAAGAAGAAAGAGTGCTGGTTGAGGCCCTTCAAGTCGGTACATTTCAGAAGCTCTTGTTGGTTTTACAGGTTCGTTGCGGGGACGATCACACGAAGGAGAAGACGAACGAGCTTCTGAAGCTCTTGAATCCTTACAGAGCTGGATTGGAATGCATTGAGTCTGTAGATTTCAAGAGTATTAGAAGGTCGTTTTGATGATCTTTTTCAAGAGAAAACATACATATTCTTTGTGTTAATTAATTCTTAATTTTGGTTTCATCAAATGATGAGCTCTTGAAATGGTAAACATTAATTAATTTGTTTTCCAGTTTGTTGATGCAATTCTGCAAGTTGAATTGGAAAGTAAAAGAGAGTTTCAATCTGTTCTTTTTACATGTAACAGTATTATATCAATGATCATTTGGAACTCGTTCTGAGACTTTCTACAACACTTTGCTTATTAGCGCTTTTGAGAGAAGTGCTTTTATAATAAACACGTAAGGCTCGTTTGAGAGTATTTTTAAAATGACTTAAAACATTTTTGGTAACAATACTTTTGACACCAATTCTTAGTAAAACGACAAGTGAATTTTGGAAAAACATTTTATTGCTTTATGCAGGAAGTACGCACTTTAAGTGTTTTTGGAATACAAAAACATATTCTCTATAAGCGGTTTTAGTCATTTTACAACCAGTTCCAAACAAGTTCTTGTACCTTGACAAATTCAAGTGCTTACAAGAAAAATACATCTCCATAAAAGTGCTTTTACGACCTATAAATGCTTGTTAAGTCTTGGGTCAAACGTTTTTTGAAAGCACCTTCATTTATCAGAAAGCACTTTTTAATAATTTTGAAAGCAGTTCATAACATGTGTTTCGATTAAGAGTCGCACCAGCTGGTCATGGTTATATCAATTTAAGTCTCCTTTGCAGAAAAAGATCGAAACACATCTTTTTTTGTGTGTCAAATTGTTGGTGCCGACTGATGGACTCATTTTTATGCACCTGTTTAAACTAAACCAAAACTAGTTGTATAATAAGGACATAGTTTCATACCTACCAAAAGAAAAAAAGATGGGAACACTTTGTACGATGTGAGTTGGGAACGACAAAGATGTCAATTTGCTGCACATTAAGAATGCGTTTTCCTTTTCAATCTTTTCAACTTTTTTAGCTGTTCGTGTTTTAGCCCTTCCTCTTCTCCGAGTGGGAACTATGCATAGGACACAGTCCGGCCGACTCGAGGCAGCACATTCTTAAAAGACATGACGGGTTGAAAAAATTCTCGTAAAAATATCATTTTCTCAGTTAACATGTTAAATATTTAAAAATTAAAACAATTGCCAAAGAAAACATTATCAAGCGGCATGTATGTCAACAATCAAGATGAACTGTTACGAGCTGGTCTAGTGGTTAGGAATGAATTTTAAATTCGTATTTTATATGGCACGTCTTGTGTTCGATTTCTAGCGCTTGTGAATCACACGATGGTGGTCATGGACAGGCTGAAATGCATTTGTGAGTATTTTCGGCCCTTGAAAGTATAGATTGTGGTGACAAAACCATCGACTGTCCTCTTTTTTATAAAAAAAAAAAAATTACAAAAATCATGACGTGTAAAAAAATGATTGTTAGGTTTTCTCAAGATATTTTGCAAACTTGATAAAAAAAATATTATAAGTCATCCTGAAGCTTATGTTGTGGTAAAAATGATACGAAAACAACTTTTGTGATGGTTTCTACAAAAATTCTTCTAGTTTTATTTTCGCTCTCCAATCGGTTGATTTTGGTCCTTCTTGGCCTCTTCGTACGCAATGGTTTATTTGTTTGAATTGTATTCAGTAGATGACTTTCTAAACCTTTAACATTTATCGCGAAGGAAATGTTGTTCTTGACAATTTTGCTAACATGGGTTTGTCTTCTCCAACTTTGGTATGAGATTATTCCCCTTCACTAGTGGCTCGTGCTGCGTTGTTTTCGGACTATGTTGACTTGCCTGGCTTTCACTTTTCAAATTAATGTACATCTCGACATACATGTTTATCTCATATATATTTTTTTTTCCTAACCTTGTGTGGTTCGACTTATTTTGCAGGTTTAGACCTTTTAGGTTTGGCTTTAGAGGGGTTAGGTTTCATGATGTTCCCTCTCTATCCTTTGTATCTTCTTTGTTTTCGTTTCTGGAGGGATAAGGTTTATGTTCCTCCTTATTTTTCATGCATTTTTCTCTTTTTTTTTCTTGTTTTATGAGATGTAAAATTTATGTTTCCCTGACTAACTGTAACTTCTTGTTTCCCTCGTACTGTCAAAGTTTAATTAAAAAAAAATTATAAATCAAATCTTGATTGTTGAACTAATCAAAATTAAAAAAATCATAAATCAAACCAAAACATCATCATTCAAGAGTGAAAAGAAGTTTCAAGAGCAATTGAGATGAAACGAAAGCGTGCGTTTGATGGGTCAATGTCAATGCAAACGGTATATGAAAACCAAGTCAGTCTACGCTGCAATTCATTCCAAATGACCTCATGAGAACAATTCAACTGAATTATTTGAATTTCGCTGGCATGAAGTGTAAACAAAACTTGCAGCAAAACATACGCCAATGAAACAAAGACCATGCCATAAAGCATCTGATTGCGATTGCTCCATCAACGAAATTCAAATGTCTAATTGGACCTAGACAGGAAACCGCCTGTTCGTATTGCCCCATCACGCGCACCATCTTTTGATCCTCATCGAATCGAGGGAGATTGAAATTTCATATACTCAACAGCGATCAACGCCGTAGTTTTCATATATAGTAGAAAACAAAGTGTACTTCAGCTACACGAACAATGTGCCAACAACAACAACATACTAGATGGCTACAAATTACGCACACAAATTCAAGACACTACAGTATTACAAACAGTAGCATCAGTTTCTCATTTATGATGAAAAAGTATTAACTCGGTTGTTTCCGCTCCCAAAGAAGAGCCTACGTCGGAAAACCTATTCGTCCTTGTACCTCTTCTCCACTTCCTCCAAGTTCTGAATGTCCTTGTAATATTTACAGATGCGAAAGAGACACCTGCGCCCAAAATTTGTAGATTGCTATCAAATGACATGAAATATATCAAAGGCCTTAAGTTTATCTTCTTCTTCATTTTTTTTTTCTTTTAAGAATTAAAAGCAAAAGGACAGGGGCATTTGATATCTGGCCAACGTACCAGTAAAGCAGACATGCTGAAGCACAAAGAATTACATTCCTTTGAGCCTTGTACAGCTGCATGACATATTGTTCCCAACAAAGGAAATGAGTCAAAAACAATTGAATATAACACGGATATAGACCGAACTTGATTTTTGTCACTTTAATGGCAGAGGGCTAAATATGCAATCATTAGACTGAGCCGATCAGCTCTTTTATCACCTAACCAATTTAAATATGACAAGACTAATCAAAATACGTACACAAAGTGAAAGTTTGAATAAATTTTCCATGCATGAATGGTGCAAAGACAATGCACGAGTGGTTCCAATTTCCCTAATAAACAAAGAATCCCGAAATTTGCACATTCTAAACCTAAAAAGAAAGACGATGAACTTGGCTAGGAAACCTTTGTATCTTTGATACCTAGAAATCCAAAACAAAGGTGCGCGTCGTTTTAGCAGTGGCATTAAGATGAAATTTTTTCAAACACCGTTTGCATTGACATATCTATTCTCGATCTCTCTAAGACATCCCAAAGCTGAATGTGCAACAACTTGCAACAGAAGAACTGGACCACATATAAAAATTTCACGACACGTACAGCCCAAATGTAGAGATATCTCCTACTAGAATATTTCAACAAACATAACCCCTTCCTTCACCCTTCATTCACTAGTTCCCACGAAGCTCCAATAAAGAAAGTCCAACAAATGATAAAGAAGCAGGATTCAAGATACCATCATAAACAAAAGCCGAAACAACCTAACAATCTAATACCCTATATACACATGTGTGTGTACTACGGAACACAAGTTTCGGAGGACTAATTTAAGACGCAGTTATGCGTTATTGAGCATTATGATTGAGTAAAAATAATCACGAACTTGTGATGAACCCAAAGCCCCCTAAATTATTACTATGTTAATCTTTAATAAAGCTGCAAAGCAGCATTCAACGGGGAGATCAAAACGTAATTTTCTTTTTGTCATATGATTTCTACTTCAACAAGTTAATTTAGGTGGCTGATCATGAATCCGAAGGCATCATCTCATCAATTTGATTAAATATTGCGACTTTAGAAGCAATGAAACCAGAGAGAGTGAGTAATGGGAACTGACGGATTTCTCATAGCGGTCACGGTCAGAGGCGGTGCAAGTCTCAGAGGTGCAGGCCAAGCGGTGCTCATTCTTCCAATATATATCTACACACAATCGATCAAAAGAAACACAGAAATAGCAAAGTCAAAGATTAATTGGAAACCCATTGAAACCAAAAATCAAAGAAAAAAGATCAATTGGGAAATCCAATGTTATGCAATGCCCTAAGAACGAGAAATTCGAAACCTCATTCGATTAAAAGGCCAGATCGCAGAAATGATTATAATTAAGGACAATATAAGTGTGAAGAGAAACCGAACGGAAACGGGAACGAAATCGAGAAAAGAAACGAACCCAGCAGCTGAAATCCGGCGAAGGGGACGATGAAGAGGGCGGGTTGGAGGATTAGAGAGACCAGCGACACGAATCGATTCTTCAACGGCTTGGGCGCCGGAATGGTTAGCAGGAACGCCAACGCCGCCTCTGCCGCCACTACGTACGTCAGTATCATCCACTGCAATGCCATCTTCGGCTCCAATTTCTCTGCTTTTTGCTTACTTCGCTATTACTTGCTCCACTTCTTCCTCTGATTTTGCAGCTCCCTCTCTCTCTCTCTGGTGTGGTTTACTTTGTGGCGGATCGGATCGGTTGAGTTGGCCCAAAATTAACACCATTTGGGCCATATCCATTAAGCAGCTATATGGTCCACTTAAAGCCCAATCTATATATCCAACTATAAATGGCCCGAAGGCCCAAATTAGTCACCCAGTGATAATGAAAACGAGACTTTAACGATAATTTTATTTAGACACATAAAAATAACTCACTTGCAACGCACTCTCTTAGATGTGTATGTTGCCAACTTATCACTGTATCGTGCGAAATTCACTTGCAATAGAATTATAACTTTCAAGGATTCCTAGTGTAAAAGTGCAAAGTTTCTCTAGATGGAAATAGTGTGCAAAGAGCTCAAAATATTTACAATGAGCCATCTTATCAAGTCAACTGCAGAGCGTTTTCGAGACTCCTTACCTAGTTTTCTCGACTCTTTATGCGCGTGCGGTTGAGTAGGCATTTCGTCAAACAGTTGTGGGCACAAAAGAGTCTCGTCCTTGTTCGGAGCATTCTTGGAGGTCCTTCACAAACGTGTTCCATGGGCTTCTATACGTCTTGAAACCCATTAGTTTAGATATGGATCCGCTCATGGTCACTTATATTAGAAAGTGCATGAATAAATGTATCAATGTTGGCCCTAAATAGTAAATTAGTAATGTATTGTTTCTTCTGTCTCTGTGGATAATTCTAGATATGACTTTAATTAATATAGTTTCAAGGACATGGTATTTCTTTTGTCTTATGGAGATTATGTTCCATTTCTTCGTTGTTTCATATATCTCAAGTATAAAAATTATGTTTGTAGATCATGTATATATACCTCAACGTGAGTTGAATAACATATTTGTCAGAATTAAACAACGTCATCTTCTATTACTACTCAAAAAGATTGTTTGATGTGGGATAATATCTAAGGGACTTACAAATATTTTAATAAATCACCAATGATGAAAACTCAATTCAACCCCTTGAAATATAAGTTCATTGAATTCATATGTTACAAAATTTTAATTTTTACCAAAATACTTCTTTCATTCCTCATATGTTCCAACCGGATTCTCTTCCGATCCTTTTGGTGAGGATCCTAGGAATCTGTAAATAGTGTCATTTCATCGTACATCGTGCGATCAGTTTTTGTTAGGTACTGTTTGTGTTTAATTTTAAATAAAAATATTTAAAATGATTTCTGATCGCACGATATACGATAAACAGATAAGATTCACGAATTCCTAGAATCCTCACAAAGATGATCCGACGAGGATCCAGATTCTCATGTTACAAAGTTTCACTACAGGATCTACCTTTCAAACAATTCTAGAAGGGAAAGCATATCTTCTTTCTTCGAGTCCTTGTCTCTCGTTTTTTATTTTTTATTTTTGTGAATGCTACACAAAATATATATTAGTAATCTCAGTCATACAACGATGGATAGGGTACATGTGAAAACTCAAATTCTCGTTGAATTAATTTGAGGTAGTAGAAGCCTTCAATACAGACAACGATAGCTAGATAACTAGTACAAGTCTCAATCCTCATGCGGGTTTATGTCCCTCCCCGTCTAGGTGTAACTTTTTTTTTCGTTATTAATAAAATTACTATCGTACCGTCGAGGTTTCCAAAAAAAAAAAAAAAAAAAAAAAATCATATTGCATCCGTGCTGTGGGCTTATCCTTGCTTATAAATAGAGTAGCAGTTAGTTAACATGGCAGAACTTATTAGTCATACTACGTCCCAGTTAGTTGACATGGCAGAACTTCCAAGGTTTTTTGCACTGAAATCAAACCACAGCAAAAAATGCTTGCGCATCATAAATCAAAACATCGGGAAATATCATGGGGTGGTCCAGTTCTCGGGGGATGATGTTAAGAGCTCACAAGCAGGGTTCCAAGTGGAGAGGGCCGACGGTAACGGAGAACTGTGCATATTAAATGCACTACCAATGGCAAATACTTGAGAAGAGGAGACGAACGGGAGTGGTGGATTGTGGCAGCCGGTGATGAACCAGAGGAAGATCAAAGCCATTGGACCTGCACTTTGTTCGAGCCTCAGGTTGTCCATAAAGACAACAAAGCAGTCATCCGTTTACTCCACGTGCAACTCGGGCGTTATGTAAGGTTGTACACTGCAAACCAGGGCACCGCATTCATCGGCTGAAGACTCCCCACGACAGTGGGAAATCTTGTAACGTCAGCCACTGCAAACGACTTCCATGAATGCCTCTACGCAGAGGAGACAGCCCCCAACCTCGAAAACCGTATGGATGAGTACACAGTCATCGACTTGGATCCACTCGCACTACCTAACCCTTTTGTGCTGAAATCAAACAGCTGCGACAGATACTTGAGCTACATACTTGATGAAGAAAACCACAATCATGAGATTGTTCAATTCTCCGGAGAGGATCCTAAGAGGGAGCAGTCAATCTTCCAAGTAGAGCAGGCAAACAATAAAGACCATCAAGAGAATCATTACGAGCACATCAAATGCTCGTACAACAAGAAGTACTTGAGAAGGATGGACATAGACAAGCAATTGATCATGGCAGTGGCTGACCGACGAGACGAAAGCACAAAAAGTTGGGGTTGCACATTGTTCAAGCCCGAGCGTGTCGGACAGGCCAGCAAAAACCACAACAACGTGCTCTGCCGATTGCGCCACGTGCAAAGCGGCCTCTACACAAGGCCATTTGTTGAGAATAGATTCGAATTACGCCTCAACGATGAAAGACCTGACTCTCATGGAGTGGATGTCTACACAGCCATCTGCGGCCTTCTATGATCATCGATTCATCATGATCATTTGATGTTTGTGGGTAACATCTCTGAAACCCTCACGAAACTCCACTCGCTCCATCAAGATCACCTATGGGTTTAAAAGACATATCCTTATCCTATAATATGCATGCGTCGTGTTCCTTGTGAAATTGATTAATAAAGCAATAAAAACAAATTCTATGTGTGCGGAAAGGTATTTTGTGTATGTTCTATGTGTGTGTAGAAAGGTATTTGTGTACTAGTGGTTTTAGTTAATAATACTAATAGTGCATGTAATGAAATAATTTACATTGCATATAATCAAATAACTTTGTAAGGTTATGTACGGTAATAAAGTTGTACTTATTGCGAATTATAGCTTGCAAGGGAGTACATATGCTTTTAGCTGTGAAAAAGGTGAATTTACAAAACTTTTGATACAATTTTCAAGTATCTTACGATGCATATTACTGGAGCAATATTCCTTGGTATTTGCCTGTTGATTGGAGCAATTGCTTATGACAGATTTGGCATATGCATGTTTTTGTTTTCCATATTTTTCGCGAGGGCAATTGTGTAGCCGATACCTTAGCCAACTTTGGTGCAGATCATGATGCATATTACTAGTGGTCTAACGTTCATTCATGTGCAGCGTTTGCTTATATTCATGATTTTTCTACTTCTACCAGCTATCGTTTCAGATGATTTTTATCATATGTTTTCTTTGTAAGTTAGGTTCCCTTATCATGTTACTTGCTATGTTATTTCCATCAATGAGGTTTGGCTTTATGTCCTCCTCATTTGTGTTCCTTCATGTGCAGAGTTTTTCCTAACGTGAACGGCATCAAAGATTATAAAAGGGTGATTATCCATTAATAACTAACTCCGTTAAAAACTTCCTAAGCCATTTCCTAGAGTTTCATATAATTATCTGTCGTGAATTTTTACAACTTCAGATAGTTTTGCAAATATTACTTCATGTTGGTTCTCTGTGAGTGGAGGCCAAATTGAGGGGAACTCTAATGCAGTTGATGCTCTCCTATCTTTTGCGGTGCTGCTCTGCCACTACAAAAAAAGAAAACACCTTGCCAGACGGATAACTTCCGTCGGCTAAACGCTTGTTTCGTCGCCGAAGTCTTTAGCCGACTGAGGTTTGTCGGGAAAAATTAGTCAGGCAAAACCTATCGACTGAACGCTTCAATGACCAAAACACAATTCTGTCGAGCAAAAGTTAGTTAACCTGTCGGAAATTTTCATCGGCCAAACAATTGACCTGAACGAAATCATCTTGCCCGATGAAAATATCTCGTTAGCTGGCTAAGAATTAAATAATGTAATGAATTTGACCCGAAGAAAGAGTTGTTGGGCCAACTCTAAGAAATCAAACTTAAAAATATAGAAAATTTTGCACGACGAAATATCTGTTAGGTTAACATTTTTCAATTTAAAAAAATATTAAATAAATTGTAATAAATATTTAAAAACAATATTTACAATCAAAATAAAATTGTTCTTATAATTATATTACAAAAACTAAACAGAAAAAAACGTTAACTATTAAGGTGATTGGGGGAATGGCTGCAAAAGCTCGGCCGGGACACCAGGAATCTTGATGCCAAAAACTGACAAGGACGGGGCTACGACAGCGAAGTACATGGGCACTAATTCTTGATCTTTCGCAGCAGCCTGTGCCAACCGCGCTACTTCTTCTTGTAGGTGCTCACATTCTTCCTTTTGGCGCGCTAGCTCCATTTCCACCTACTGAAGTTGGGAATTAGTCTCGATTGATGAATAAAGCTCGCTGAAGAAGAAAAGCCCCCAACTTCCTGAACTCGACTCGTTCCTAGGCCACGAACTTTCTTGGCTTTCTGTCGCCTGATTACGTCCATTAGCAACTAGATGGACACCTATGAATCAAGTATCAGCTCCTCCATAGGCATATTCAATTATAATCTTGCACAGATGATGGGATACAAGTTTGAAAGTCTTATTTTATATGTTATATAAACTTTTTGTTTCTTAATTGAGTAAATTGTAGCAATAGTCCCTTAACTCTAACTCAATTGGAGTAAGGATCCCTCAACTAAAAATTCATTACCATTGGTCCATCAACTCATCAAAACGTGCATCTATGGTCCATCAGATAAAAATCCATTACCATTTGTCCCTCAACTTTAATCCAACTAGAGAAATGATCTCTCAACTTTAACCCAATTAGAGCAATGGTCCCTCAACTCTAACCTAATTGTAGCAATGGTCCTTCCAACATAACTCGTTTTGACAAAATTCTGATAAAGTTGACGAAAATGACCATAGCTACGCTTTTTAATGAGTTGAGGGACCCTAATTATAGCCATGGTCATTCCAACATAACTTATTTTGACAAAATTCTGACGAATTTGATGAAAATGACCACAACTACACACTTTGATGAGTTGAGGGAACAATGGTAATGAATTTTTAGTTGAAAGATCATTGCTCCAATTTGATTAAAGTTGATGGATCATTGTTACAATTTACTCTTCTTAATTTTATACGAGTGTTGGCTTTAGTTTATATTATTTTGAGAATTATATCCTTAAGTAGCATTGACAGGAAAAGGATCCTCACCGGATCATTTTCCTAGGGATCCCGTGATTCTAATCGTTTATCGTATATCGTGCGGTTAGTTTTCATTAGGTACTATTTATATTTAATTTTATGAGTTATACAAACAAATCAATCAATGTCAACTATTTTAACAAATCTTGCATCACACCAATGAGAGCTATGTTCATATCAATGAGAGAAATGGGAAATAGATTGAGGAAATTAATATTAATTAAACTGCTCCCCTCAAGGGGATATAGAGAATTGATATTATCAAACAGCTATTAATCATTGTCTTTATAAATTGCTCCTTCCTACATTTCTTCGAAAGTACAATTAGCGGATCTGTTCACGAAAGAGTAATGTTAGGAAGACTAAATTTGCAAATTACATGATGTGTCATCAATAGGAAATGAGTTTATCAACGTTTAAATAATAATTTAATCACCAACTTCCATATTATTTAGTTTACAAATTTAGTCTCTTTAACATTACTGTTCATGAAAACTTTAGTAATTTAGTAATATTAATTATAACATTCGCTATTCAACTTGGGGATTATAGAGAGTTGATCTGGTCAAATCATTTATTTTTATTTTTATTTTTTTACAAATAATAGCGTTTGTAGGTTAAATAATTAATTGTTAAGTGGAAGGAAAATCTGTGGGGATTGAAGTCGCACTAAGATGCATAAACATTATTATTTTTCATCAGTGCAGAGAAGCGCGGTTAAGGTATGATAAAATCATATCATCATAGCATATTCTATTATTTTTTTTTATATTTACCATAAATAGAAGCCAACCCCACTGATTGAATAGTGCATAAGATGATCAAGCAGAGGAAGATGGACTTCGCTGAGAGCAAGGCATCACACACCCAAAACACATTGTTACATATGGTCATGACATATGTGTTTATTGTAAAACACTTCTGCTTCTCCCTGAAGAAGCAATCGCATATGAGCCTTAGTTTATATATAAGGCTTATCAAGTGAAGGCCCTCAGCGCTAAGAGATGATAATGTAAGGCACCCTTTTCTCAGGAAAATCATGCATCAAGTCATAAAGCACAGGCCCACAAGAAAACTATAACAAATTGAGAATTCGAATAAAGTTTTGATGTAAGTTAAATGGGATTCTGTTTATAGGTTAATCTGATGGCATTGTTTACATGATAAGTTGATAACCACAATTTGCTACTTGGTTTTTATGTGTTGATGATTATGAAGTTGAGTTTATTTGAGTAGTTAACTGGCATATTGGATGAAAGGAGTGCTCGCAGCAGTACAGCTACCATCTCGTATAAAAAAATATGCCAATGGAACTGGAAGAGTTTTGATTCATACATTGTACTCGCAATTGTTTATTTCTTTGCTCGATCAATCGTGAGAGCTATAGATCTACATCCTGAGTCGGACTGAGAGAATGGTATACATAAAGCTTGTGGAAGGAAGAGTTATTTGATTAATCAGGGCGTCTTATGATTTCTGGTTGATAAAATAGATCCACCATCACTGATTCACTATGATTCATAGAAATCAAGAAAAGAAAAGAAAATCAGATAAACCAGTTTTTCATCCTTATGCTTTACTTTCTTGGGCTTTTTTATTTTGAAGGTGGATTGTCTGCCCTCCCATTTCCATACTCTCTCCATGCCCTCCTGTTTGTGTGATCACGATTAAGCCACGTCAACATTTTATATTAATTTTTTATAAAAATAATAAAACAAAAAGTAATAAGAATATAAAATGTTGACGTGGTTTAACGGTGACCACACAAACAGAAGGGCATGGGGAGAGTATGGAAATGGGAGAGCAGACAATCCACCTCCTTTTATTTTAGTATATTTCCAATTATATTGGAAGGTTTTGAAGATTGAACCTAGCATATATAATGCCCATTATATATGATATTCGTACCCACCCACCCACCCTTACCATTACAATTCGAGTAAAATAGTACGCCATGTCGCTATATCCAGGTAAACGAAAGAAAAATTCTAGTTAAAAATGCCCAGAATTCATTTTAAATAAATCACAAATGATAGAAACAAAATTGAACGCTTAAAAAATCAAGTCTTTGAATTTACCATGTTACAAATTTCATTCCTCATCATGGCTATAAGTGGCTCCATATCTAGGTAAACCACTCTAATTAAAAATGCCCATAATGCGTTTGAAATAAATCACAAATGATAGAAACTAAATCCAAAGCTTCGAACATCGAGTCTTTGAGTTCACCATGTCACAAATTTCATTCCTCATCATAGCTATAAGCCACTTGCTTGAAGAAATTTATTACAAAATGCTCCTCACCTATCCACGTTCTTTATGAAATTTGACAATCTATTGCTCATTTAGTTGTTTGCAATATAAACTATTCCGATAGACCAGGCTACAATGGAACAGAATAGTTTGGAAAAGATATAAACCAAC